CTGTCCCCGAGTGCCCACTTCTTGGTCACCCCAGCAAGACTTAGAAACTGTTTTCAGCCCTCCCGGCACGGCTCCTCGCCCACTGTGATGTTTTCCCAGAGCACGTGACTCCTTTTCCTTTGCTCACCTTTGCTCACCTTTGCTCAGCGCCTCACTCAGCACGGTGCTTGCTCGCCTGTCTCCCTGCGGGGTGAAGCTGCTCCAGGCCGGGATGCGCATCCGCTGCTTCGCTGTGGAGTCCCTGCTGCAGGCCTGCGAATGAGTCTTTCTCTTTCTCCACGCAGAGCGGATGGCTGCCTTCTGAACCCTTCTGTGTCTTGTGGAAAGCCATCACCAGAGGCTGGTTCTACTTCCAGTCTTCCCGGGATCGCTCCTCACCCTTCAGCTTCGGGATCTCTCCATGGATGCATAGTTTTCCGACGCTTGGGCCTCTCCGTGGGTATTTATACAGAGGCCTAGCAAAAAGACACAATTCTGTTCGGCTTCCGCAAAGTTGCATTTTACATGTGCAGTCCCCGGCGTGGGTGGAGTCAGGGTCAGCCCAAAGCTGTCTGCAGCCACCCAGGTGGGAGACGGTGCGGCTCAGGTCTTAGGATAAGGCCCACAGACCTGAAGCCACATTCCCAAGTGGCAGCGTGTTCCGTCTGCTCTCTCTCCGTGGGTGCTGAGGTGGGAAAAGGCTGCCATGAGCTGTGTGCCCTCAAATCTCAAGAATATGGCTTGAGTGGACCTGACCCAGAAGTCCAAATTCAGAAGTGCTCTGAAACCGGAAACTTGCTGAGCACCAACATGATGACACAAGTGGGAATATTCCACATCGGACCTTGAGACCCAGGAAAACACAGGTGCACCAAAAATGTCATATAAACTGAGCTCCAGGCAGTGAGTGGGAGGCACACATGGAACACAGTGGACTTCAGGTTCGGATATAGGTCCTATCCCCAAGACATCTGGAAATATCCCAAAATTAGGCAAAACAACTTCACAAAGAAACACTGTGCTTCCAGCCTTGTGAATGAGAGATATTCACCCTAAGGAATCGAGAGGGAGATCAGGAGCAGACCTTCTGGTTGGTCCTGTCTCGGCTCCTTTCTTAGATGGGTAACGCGCTGTCTATCCGGGTCTGCTGCTCTGCAGTGGGTGTCTCTTGTCTGTTGTGCAGCTCATGCACCATGCAAAGCCGTCTGGCCTGGAGGTGTGAGAGGGAGCGAGACGCTCCTCTGATCAGTAGCTGCGTCTGCCTGGGGCCCGCATCAGCTCAGAGGGGGAGGCACAGCTTAGAATTCGCAGGAAAGGCAAAGTCTCTGTGCCCCAGCAAACCCCTCTCAGTCAGTTCAATGGGGGAATAAATTCCTGCTCTTCAGGTGGGCAGCTCTATGCTTTATCCAACTGTCGTCCTTCAAAAGGAGGAACCGTGTCCATTTAACTAATTTTTCATCATCTCTTATGAAATATAAGAAGCCAGTACCCCAGGCAAGGCCCAGGTGGAATTGTAGAGGGCATAGTCTGCTTTCCCAGGCCATTTCCTTCATTTCTATTATTATTATTGTTTTTTGTTGTTGTTGTTTTGTTTTTTGGTACTGGGGCTCAAACTCAGGACCTTGCGCTTGTGAGGCAGGCGGTGGAACCACTGAGCTAAATCCCCAGCTCATTTCTATTATTATTAGACAGTGACAGGAAGACCAGAGGACTGATGTTACACTTTCTATCCACATGTCCTCCCAAAGCCTCATGCCCTCATGGATGGGGCTTTTGGAGGCTGTTTGGAATTTGGGGGCTCATAGCTGACTTGCTGTTAGGAGGTGGGGCCTGGTTGGAAGAGGCGGTCGCCATGGGTGCTGTGACCCGGAAGGACTCCTCTCCCTCCTGGTTCCTCCCTAGAGTCGCTGCTTCCTGTCATCCATGCTGTGAGCAGGGGTCCTCTGCCGTGCCTCCCGGCTGTGGAGCCAGCCAACTGTGAACTGAATCCTCTGCAAACGGAGCCAAAATAAACCTCTCCTCCCTTGAATTGTGGGTGTCAGGTGTTGTGTCTTAGTGACAAGAAAGCGATGAAGACAATTGAATCTATGAAATCTAGACTCTGGACCGTAGTTTCGTTTTTTTTTCTCAGTACCAGGGATTGAACTCAGGACCTTGTGCTTGCAAGGCAGGCACAGTGCCACTGAGCTAAATCCCTGGCCCCTTAGTTTTTAAAAAAATATCTAACTGGAAGTCCTGTAGATCTCAATGGGTTATGGTAAGAATAAAGAGCACAGTGTATGTAAAAAAGAACTGCATGCCATAAATCCATACAGATGTTAGGGTGATTACTATCATTCCTTGACTGCTTAAATCATACTCGGGAGCATTTTCCAGCTGAGTTAACGTGCAGGCCTCCTTCTGACAATGTTAATTCTAATGATAACACTGTCACACACTTATTTCTGGAAAACACCTAGAGCCATTTCTTTGAATTATTCATTTTCCAACTTTTTAAAATAGGTTTTGCAATATAATTTGAGGAGGTCTAAACCTACATGCCAAAGGGCATTCCATTTCACATCTGCATTTCTTTCTCTGCACATCTGTTTACTTGCCTCTCTGCTTTCTAGCAGCTGGTTGAGGGATGATTTCAAACAGACCCTACTTGATGAAGCTTGGTAGTGAATCAATGGTCCCTGTTTGGGTTTCTCTAATCCAGTGCATTCTAGAGGAGCAGGCACTTCTAGACAGTGTCTGTTTATTTTAAAGTTCTCGTGAGGGTGGAATTATGATGATTTTGTTAAAAAAAAAGGGGGGCAGGAAAACAGGGTTGGCGTTGATAGCTGCTCTATAAGGCAGAGATTGGAAACATCAACATTCATTCTTGTATTTTCCCAGTAATCCTTCTGAACCTTCATTTCCAGGAACTGTATAGTAGAAGACACAGAGTAGAGAACTGTGTATAGTTCACTCTCAAAGGCAAAGTCAAAATAGGAATACAAGAAAGTTTATGGTTAAGGCCATGAATGCCAGGAGCACCAGGTGCTGGGTACCAGGGTTGGAGGCACCAACTGTTGGAATATTAGCTGGGCCTGGGTTGAAATCCCAGCTCTGCCACTTACCTTTTCCTAGCTTTAGTTCTCTTGTCAGTAGAATGTGGCTTGTGGTCCTCACTTCACACCACTGGCAGTTCCAGTAAGGAGAATAATGCCTGGAAACTGGAATCACCCACTGTATGGCTGATCATAGTCACTGTACTAACAGTAATATTGTAACTGGTAGCTCCTGGACACTGGAGGATGTACGTAAAGAAGCTATAGTGGTTAAGGGCTCGGGAACCAGTTGATTTGAGCTCAGAACACAATTCTTGTGATGACCAGTTATGTGAACTCTGACAAGTTTCAACTTCCCAAAGCCTCCTTTTCCTCTGTAAGGTGGGAATAAAATGAGCATCTACATAGTTTGAAGGGACCTGCATTATGTAATGAAAGAATAAAGCTTGGGTCTTGGGCACCCTTTGTGGCTCAAGAGCTCCCCACTCTTTTGTGGTCCCCCCCTGAGCCTGACTGTCGTCTCTGGGTGGGCAGGAGAATGTGGGGGACTCCATCAGTGGCCCCTTGGAGAAGCCAGGAGGCGGAGTGGCACCTGAAGCTCTGGCATGTCCCAGAGTTCTCCTCAGAAGCTGCTCTGGGGCTCAGGGCCTCCCCAGGGCTGTGCATGGACATGGTGTGTCTGGCAGAGGAGCTGGCAGCGGAATCAAACATCACAGCTAAAACTCTGGAGTTGAGCAATTCAGTTCCTGTTTGTGATCCTTGTATCAATGGGATCTTGGGCAAGTTACCTAAACCTTTTCTTTACTGGTGAGCTATGGATACTTATACTTGCTTTGTGGAGTTGACACAGGATTAAACAAGATAACAAGTGAAACTACTCACTACCTGGAAGCTATTTTAGGACAGCACAAACCATGGAAGCACACAGTTCTCTAACTGGTTTCTGAGCACCCACTCTAGGTCAGGTACTGGACCAGTTGCCATGAGACCGTGGATTATTTGTTTCTTGGAGCTTTGGGGTTTTTTTTCTGTATGGTTGATATCACACAAGGGGTCTATCAGTCAAAAATTTAAAAAGGCTAGATAAAATATCTCAGTGTGTTTTCTGCTGCTATCACAGAGTACCACAGGGTGAGTAGTTTTTAAAGAACTTGGGTTTATCTAGCTCATGGGTCTGGAAGCCAGGAAGTCAAAAAGCAAGGGGCCCAAATGTGGCTAGGGGTTTGTGGGTTATTTTAACAGGGCAAAAGAGAAAGGGGGCATGCCTGAGACAGGAAGAGCAAATTGGGCTGAACTCACCCATTTTAAAAATCAGAAACCTGTTGCCTCAGTAACTAACCCACTCCCTTGACAACCACAATCATCCATTCCTAAGGGCGGCACCCTCAGGATCCGGGATCCTCTTGAAGTTTTCATGCCCAGTGCCATCATAGTGGCTCTCACATCTCAGCATGAATTTTGGAAGGGACGTTTAAAGCATAGCAACGTCTCTCACGATGACTCAGCTTAACACAAGGAGACCCCAGGTTCTGGGCCAATTGTTTTCTTAATTCAGGCAACAAGTATGGTGCAAAAACCTTTGAGAACAACTGAAGATATTAAGAGCAATAAAACCTGACCCTGTGAAAGAGAGGTTTCCAGGCAGGTGGGCTCCTCTGACACCTGTTTTAATTGTTCTGTCCTTCTCTGAACAGGACCGGTGGCTGTGTTCTCTGCGACAATATTAATTCAGTGGGTAGATGTGTTTCTATAACTATTGTGTGTGCAGTGTGTGCAGTTCTGGTACTGAGTTCTTGGAGTATGAGGAGGGAACGGTAAAGTTGGAGGTCCTTTAGTTTAGTTATGGCGATGACACCCAGAGCAGTCGGTTAATAACAGCATGGTGGGGTTTTAGTGAGTGCACGGCTGGCGGATGACTTTGAGAAAGTGTCCTGGTCTCTGTGGGCAGATGGGCCTGACTCCCAGCCCTGCTCTGCTCTTACCCAGCTGCTGACTTGGCTGTCACTGGCCCTCTTGGAGCAGAAGTCACCATCTGGAGGCTGGGACCAGGCACGGTGAGCATCAACCACGAAGATGCTCATGAAGACAGACAGGAGGCACAGGTCAGTGCTGCGCTCTGTCACATGCACGCGCAGGCCTCCGGCCCCTTGGTGTGTGAGGGTGTGCACACCTGTCTGTGCCACGCGTGCCTGGGTTAGACCTCCACTTGCCATTCCACACCCATCTACCCGCAGGATAAACACTCACCGACCTCCTGCTCTCTGCCAGGCACTGTCCTGGCGCTGAGGAATGGTGTTGAAGGTCCAGGTCTCCCTTCTCACAGGGCTTGCATGTGAAATGTGCACAATAATGTCAGGCGAGGCCGAGCCGCAGCACCATGCAAGGCACTCAGCACCTCTCCTGCGGTGACACAGAGGTGGACCTGTCCCCCCGTCTTCTCTGGTGTTGGTCTGCATCAGCAGGGTGCCTAGGAAGACAGTTCAGTTATTAGCGTCAGGCACCCCTGTTCTTCTATGAAGCAAGCATATGGGCTGCTGTGACTTGAAAATTAGAAGCTAGGAGATCAAAGGCCAAGCCCGAGGGAACAGCTGGACTGCACTGCGGTGTCAGGAGAGGACAGTTACCGGCGGTTCTGTGGCCCCCGTTCTTGGGACCAGCAGGGCACAGCTGTTCCTGCTGCGACTGCTCCCTTCGGTTGGAGCGGGAAGATGTCTAATTAGCCTGATTTATTGAACTATTAGCATGCATGGAAGAGTCTTTATTCCACCATTATTTATGACCTGCTGAGCCCTGGCTCTGAATGAGCTAAGGTACAGGTGCAGGCCGCAGCCTGGGGCCGGGGAGACTCCAGGCAGGAAGGGAAGAGTCCAGGGCTTCCGAGTTGGGACCGAGCATCGTGACTGCAAGGGTAGTGGCAGTGGCAGCGTGTTTAGCTGAGGCCTCGCTGCCAGGACCCCCGCCGCCTCCCCCGGCCCCTCCTCCCAGGCCATCTCCGCCTGTCACACGTGCCATACCCTACCAGCTGTCTCTGGGACTGGGGTGTAAACCCCGGCAACACATCCAGTTTTCACAAATGTGGAGGGAAGAGAGACTGGAGAGGCGAGAGAGGCCCCCACGGCGAGGAGCGTATGTTTCTCGTGTTTCCTTCTTGCCTCTGGAGTGGCCAAGGCGTGAGTGTCACCTGACTGCCTCCAGAGGTCCGGGTGGGGGTCCGATGGGTGCCTGGGTGGCCGGCAGCTCCTCCCTGTCCAGCTTCTGTCACACACTGGGGCTGAGGAGCCCTTGTGTTGTTTGTGGTCCCTGCTAGGAGCCGCCCAGGAAGGGATACCCTGATCACCATGGTGTCCCGCTGGATCTGGACGTGGCCCGCTGGTGTCCCATGACGGTCCCTGCCTCACGTGCCCGGGGCTCCTCCCACCTGTGTTCTCCCTTGGGAGCAGCTCCCTCCAGCCTGAGCGACACGGCTCATCACCCTCCCGTCCCAGACTGACCGGGCCGAGCTGTGCAAACGAGATGCCACAGATAAACACGGAGTCATGGCTCACTGTGGCCTCCCAAGCTCTGGTTTCAGGGGAGGACCAGGGGGCTCCCCGCTTCACTTGCTGGGTGGTTTTAAGGTGCGGCAGCAGCGAGATTGCTGGGAAACTTGTGGGTGGGCTAGGGGCCAAGGACAACGGAGGTATCCCCGGGTCAGCGTTCCATGGGAGCTTCTACCCAGGCCCCATCTTCCATCAGCTGGGAGGAGCGGCTTGAAAGGTCACCAGTGCCCCGAGGATGGCTGGGCCATTGGAGCCTCTATGCAGGCCTGGAAGGGGCAGAAGCAAGGAGACAGACTTGTCGCTGAGCCCCAGCTTGGACAGTGGTCTGGGGCCAGGTCTCCCAGCTCCGTGGGGCACCCATCCCAGCAGGCCTCTGCAGGAAACAGCTGGATCTCATAAGGGAAACCCAGTGCTGGCTTCTTAGGGAAGAAGGAAGTCGGCCTCCCATACTGAGCTGCTCAGGGCGTGGCTGCTGGACCTGCTGGACATCGCTGGGCAGCCTGGGCTCTGACCGAGGTTGCAGTCCACGGGTGGGAGGGGGCTGAGGGGCTGCTGGGTCATAGGATCCATGCCCCCGAGCTGGAGGCCTGAAAAGCTCTTAGCCTGCTGGTTTCACAGCCACCTGTGAACCCGAGGGTTAGGCAGAGGAAGAAGCAGGTTCACTCACTCGTGGGTGGAATGGCAATGCGATCAGTTTGTGTCTTAGAGGGACAGTTCAAGGTCACAGGTGGTCACCACTAAGGCATTTTCAAGAATGCCTTAGGACCCTTCCAGAGTTCAGGAGAAGGATCCGCCTTGAGTCAATGAGCAGCAAATTCCTGTCTACCCCGCAGCAGCTCTGCACATCAGCCTACTGGTTTCTGGTTTTGTCTGCTCCGCATTGATAGATCTATCAATGAATAGAAGAGATAGAAGGAATAGAAGCGGAGAGAAAGGTAAGAGGAGCATTATACAAGATGTATACAAAGTGATCAAAGTACGTATACAAGATGATGAAAATATCCAGTGAATATTTTTATTTATTACAGTAAAAGACACATTGCCCTGAGTCTCCCCTCGGAGCCCTCCTCTTCACTTTGAACACACTTCTCCCACCATTCTTGCCACTGTCCAAAGCAGCTCTGGGAGGTCTGATCAAAGGTACGGTGAAAGATGCTGCTGAGCGCCATGCAACAGAAAGGGGGCTGTGAAAACATGATGCGTCCTCACCCACCCTCTTCGCCAGGGTTGGCACCGCGTGACTTCAGGCTCCTCCCCAAAGTCCACGTGACCATGGCAGGGACATCAAGGCAGCCATGGCAGCACAGCTAAAGGGGGAGGGCAGCGCCCTTACATGTTCTGGGCTATGAGCACCACCATCAGCTAAATGTGGCTGAAGCAAAAACTGACAAAGCTCTCTTTACCCTTACTGCTTACAGTGAATTCTGCTATTTCTATTCCACCGTCTTTCATTTCGGTGTAAAAAGTTCGAGGTGGGCCCCTCACTGACGGCAGGATTTGAAACACTGTGCTGCAGAACCTTTGAAATTGGTCTCAACAGCTTCTTACCTCCATGCCCTGGCTGGGGAACGGACAAAGCCAGGCCTAGCCAGGGGATTGCTGTTGCCCACCCAGTGTGGGCCAGGGGGAAAGTGACAGGCAACGAGATGTCAGACTCTCGGACTATTACTGAAAAATGACGGCAAGTAAGGAGCCTGCACAGAGAACGTGGAGGGAGAAAGGAGGACGATGAGCTTCGCTCCAGACCTCCATCCCTCCGCACGCCTTCCCAGCTCCTCATCCAAGCTCTGGCAGTCTTGCAAGGCCCCCTCTCCCAGGAAGTCCTCCCTGGCTGTCTTTTATAAAGCACTCGACTCTGCTGCTTACCTGAGCTCTCATTGTCCCTGGCCAGCCGGGTTGAACCCTTAACGTTACCTATGCTCTCTAGTGGATTTCTTTTAAAGCATCTATAGAAGAGTGGAAAAGCTCTATGTTTTAACACTTTTTGTGGGGTTTCCCCCTGCACTTTAACATTTTCATTTTGTACCAGACCTTTTAAATTTTGGTCACTGGTCATGGAAGGTCAGGAGTCTCACCCATATCCCTAAGTCCTGTTTGTTTTACCAGTTACCGGTTGGTAAGCCTGAACCACTATGGTGTTGTCTTGGTGGTCTTGCTTTCCTTTATCTCCTTCACTCCTCCCTATTCTTAAGGAGGGTTGGTATGTTCAGGAAACAGCAGAAATACAAATGGGAAAGAGCTTGAGTGGACCCAGGCGAGACCAGAGAATTAGGAAATGGGCGAGGGGGACACTTGGAGAGACTTCTGAGGGGCCTAGAGGTGACACCCGAAGACCAAGAAATGTGGTCTGGGCCATTGTGTGTTGGGAGGTGACACATCTTAGTGAGCTCTGAGTGTTAAGGAAGAACAACCCTCATTGTGCTACTTTAGTAGAAAAATAGCAAGAGTGATTGTTCTCCACATCATCCTGTCAGAAGTAAGTGGAGACGTGCCCTGCAGGACAGTACCATCCACTGTCCATGTGCGTGGCCCATGTCCAGGAGTTGGGGACCTTGGTACAATTTCTGGCTGCTCCTGAACCCACTGTACTCTGGGCCTGGTCACTGGCCCACCCCCCAGTCCCATTTCCACATTACTACACGATCATGCCAAAGGGCAAAGCAGGAGCCTTCTGGGAGCTTTCTGGAGCACCAAGGCCACTGAGGAGGCAGAAATACCATCCAGAGTCTCTGTGAGGACCAGGCCCTTCCCCACTTCTGGGTTTTGCCGGAAGATCACATTTCCTAGTCTCCTTTGCAGCTGTACTTCAGCCACATGACTGGATTCTGGCCGCTGGAATGTGGATAGTAATGACCTAATGATGTTAAACGGATCTAATTATTCCTGATGCTTGGAGTGGAAAGTCAGATGTATACAGTGCTGTCCAAGCTCACCAGGAAGTTCTAGAAATGCTTCCTCAGGCTGTACCAGGGAAGGTGGGCTCTGGAGAGTGGACAGTCCAGTCGAGGCAAGGTGAACGTTTCACTGAAGCTTTCTACAGGACAGGTAAGATGCTGTGACAAGCCATTTTAACAATGGCTCTCAAGGAACCCTCCTTCCAGTACTTGTGTTCTTCTGAGGTCTCCTTCCATCCGGACTCTGGACTTGGCCATGTGACATGTTTTGGCCAATGGAATGTTGGCAACGGGGCACACTGAGCTTCCGTGAGTGTCTGCCCCGGGGCTGGCTCTCATGGAACACAGCTTCCCAGCTGTCCCAGATGAGCCTGGTCCGCAACCACACAGCTGTGTGAGGGAGCACGGGCAAAACCAGCAGAACCACCTGGGCAACCTCCAGGACCATGCAAAATAAAATTGTTGTTGGTTTAAGCCTCCCAGCTCTGGGGCATCAGGTAAGTAATACAATATCTTATTCATGTTTGTTTCTCCAGAGCCTGCAACACTGCCACAACCCATTTTTTGTTGACATAAACCTTGTTCTCCCAACAACCCTGTCAGGTAAGTATTACTATCATTTTGTGTTTATTTTTAATTATAAAGTCACAGAAACTCTTACTCATGCCAAGCCGGCCTGCTGGAGGCCATCTCATTACCCTCATTCTTGTAGAAGATGTAATCAAGGTCAGGGAGATGCAGCAACATGTGCAAAGTCCCCGTGGCAAGACTTTGATCACCCCTACTACATATTTATTCTTAATGAAGAATTGGAAACCTTTGCTAGGCACAGGGGTCTTGCTATGTGACGACTGGGAAGTGATGTGGTTATATGGCGGCACTTCCTCTAGCTCTTGTGGAAACCACAGGAAGTAGGCACTCCTGTCACTCACCTCGGAGATGGAGACAGAGCTGAACTCTAAACCCAGCGCTGTCTGATTGCTCCTTGTGGCTCTTGTCACTATCCACTCCATGTGGAGTCACGGTTCACGTGGAGATCAGGTTAAAAAATCTGGGCATGGGAGCCGGGCTTGAAGGCACACACCTGTGATCCCAGCACTTAGCACTCAGGAGGCTGAGACAGGAGAATGGCAAGTTGGAGGCCAGCCCAAGCTACAGGGTGAGTTTGAGCCCAGCCTGGACCATACAGTGAGACTCTGTCTCAAGAAAACAAAATGAAACAGAACAACAACAATAGAAAAAATAGGAACATGGAGCAAAATCCACACATAGTGAAAATTACTCTCGAAAATCTCATGAGCCTCCTCTGAAGTAAAGTGTATCCTATTTATTTAGTAATTAATAGGGAAAAAGGCAGGGTCTATCTCAGGGCTGTGTCATGTTAGAAAAGTGGCTTTCGACACCAGAATCCACCGTGGCAGAGTCTGGTTGGATGCTCACGAATTCTATTTATTTCCTCTCCAGATGCACAGAAAGATCCTATTTCCTGTCTTTTACTGTTAAATTTGGGCTTTGTGATTGGGATCTGGCCAGTGGGATATGGATAGAAGTGATGGAGTCACTTCTAAGCTTGGTTCTTAAATACTTAGGGGCCGGGGATTTAACTCAGTGGTGCCACCGCCTGCCTTGCAAGCGAAAGGTCCTGAGTTTGATCCCTGGTACCAAAACCAAAACCAAAACAAAACAAAAAACTAAATACTTATGTGATTCTATAGTCCAGGAGTTGGCAGACTATGGTCCTCTGCTCGTTGTTTTGAATAAAGTTTCGTTGGAACATTCTCCGTTCCTTGTTCGCATTGTGCCTAGTAATGCTAAGCACACACCCAAATATAAATATCTGGGGGCCTCACTCCTGCAAGGTCACAGGTCAAAGACATTGGCTCTTGAGTCACTGCTTAGAGGATGGCCACCAAGGAGCGCCTCGGGCTGACGTGAATGTGCCACTGGGCAGTAATCCGCCCTTCGTGTGCTCTGCCACTTAGAGGTTGGCCCTGGACTCTGTGGAGACCACAGATTCACCAGCACCTTCTCACACGCGCTGCCCTGGGTGTGGGTTGAGGGTCGAGTCTGTGCTCACTGTTCGCCTTTCTCTTTGTTCGCTTGTGTTTGCTTCCCCTCACTGAGCACACATAGCTGAGTTTTCATCCATCACATGTGGGCGCGATGCGTCTGCACCTCCACCACCCCTGCACCTTCACCATCAAAGCATCTTTGAGCGACTTGCATTTGGCAGTGGCTGAAGAATGCAGTGTGTGCGGCGGAGAGGAGAAGAGGGGGTCCAATCGGGCCCAGATGTCAGGACCCCCAACCCCAGCCGTCTTGGGACGGAGCTCAGAGGAAGAGACCCCCACTGGGGTTCCCAGGGGCTGACTGCCCACTCGGCGCGGCTGCTCAGTGTCAGCCCCGTGGTCTGCAGAGGCAGCTGGCGCCCGGCCCGATGCAGTCTTTGTCTCTTCTTCCTCTGAAGTCATCCTGGGACACAGGTGTGCTTCCCCCAAAGCCAGCGGGCAGAGGGGAAGACGCGCCCCAGAGCAGCTGTCAGCTGAAACTCACCGAAGGAGCGCGGAGCCCTCCGACCGCAGCTGAGGAGAATTCGAGGCTTGCCCGGAGAAGAATCCCTGAGATTCTTTAAAGGAAGAATGCTCCCACAGATGTGCAGCATCTGGCCTGTGGAGGGGGTTTCCCTGCCCCGGAGAACGGAGACCAGCCAGCTCAGGAGATGCCCAGGGGTCCAGACAAGCGGTCCCCACTCGCAGCTCTGAATTGTGCTTCCCAGAAGGTCAAGTGCGAGCCCAAATGCCTCTTGCTCTCCCTTAGCAGTTTTGTCCTCCGCTCCCCGCGTACTCTCCATGGCTCCTGATGTCTATGGCTGAGACTGAAGACTCATAGCCTTGCCTCCGAGCCTTGGCTTTTGCTGTTCATTCTCCGTGCCTGTTTGGTCACCACCCCACTCCCTTTAAGTGGCCATCTAATTTGTTAGGACTCTTCCCACTGCAAACGAGAGAAGTCCACCTCCATCTGGCTTTAAGCAAAACAAAAACAAAAACAAAAACAAAAACTATTGAGTTAAAAATTATCGAGTAATGTAACCTAAAGTCTAGGACTGTTTGATTTTCAAGTTAGGTATAGCTGGGTCTAGCTCTTCTCAGGACCTTACGTTCGCCAGTTTCTCCAGGTCTAGTCTCTGTTTTTTCTACCTTAGCTCCAGTTTCAAGCGGGTATCAGATGGGCTGGCCCTAGCACCCTTTCTACAGAAGGGCATCGCTTCTTTCCTAGGCTGTAGTCCTGGGATGGCCATGGGTTAGCCATCTTGGACACATACGTGCTCACAAATGAATGACTCACTGGTGTCAAGGGGGAGATGCCCATGATTTCTTGAGCCTAGGTCACATGTTCCCAGCAATCCCAGGGAAGGTAGTCTTTCTCCAAAGAAAATAAGAATCTTATGAGCATAAGGTTGAGTGAGCATGGGACAGGGAATGTCAACAGGCACAATGTGCCTCTCAAGGTCAAATTCATTCTCAGTCTACTGTCTACAACTCTGACCTTGCTATGCTGGCTTTCCAGGGAAGCCCAATCCATGGACCTCATTTTCACCATTGTGACTCTTCATAGTCGGGTATGGGGTTTATGAACATCACCTATGCCAGGCAGAATGCCAAGACCCACCATACTTTGCACTAGTGGGACACTTGCTGGCCATTGGTGGCCAGTGCTCTATGCCTTACGTGTCCCTTACACTATGCCACATGGCTAGCACTCTGCTAACTGCCTAATTACTCAACAAGTTTTTGTTGGGTTAAACTGCTGTGTAGACGCCAGCACTTGAGCTGGGAGTCAAGAGGTGTGCATTGTAATCAAGTCTCTTGACCTTGACCAACAGAAGTAGCTGTTTGAAAAGGGGACTGAGCAGGATAATAGCTATTTTTGTCAAATGCTTCCAGTTCATGGCATTTGCATTCCATTTCTCTGGAAATGACCCTGAGAAAGGACTCAAATGCAGCAGGACAAGCTGCTCAAGGTGGAATGTAAGGCCAAAAATGGGGTAAAATTGGAAATTTCCTTGGAGACTCCTATAAATGACTTACAAAGTAGCATTTAAAAAGTTATACCTGAATATTCCCAGAAAGTTCTTTAAAGTCCAGATATAAAACTTTTTCTTTTCAATGCACCAGGATGATATGCCATAAAACACAGTTCAACCACACTTGGACCAATGTTAACACCTCAGACTAAAACACTATCTTCCCGTGATTCCATCTTACCTTGAAGATGGGAGCATCTCTATTGCAAGCGATTGTGTTTATTCTTTCAGCACACAACCTTAGGGAATGGAAGGGGGTCACTTTGTGTTATGCTGTGTTACCAGTAGGTACAGTACCTAAGATCGTCCTGTAGTGCCCAATTTATGATTGGGCAACAAGATTTGTCCTTTTTCCTGATCCAAAGGGAATCAACACTTTTAGACAAGTCCACAAAGAAGTTGTACTTAGTGAAATATTTGAGATGGATATGGTAACATATTGTATATTATTTAGTGAGAGCACATATTCTGCTATGCAGTATTAAAATACAGCTGGATATGCACTCAGCACTGCAAGATTTACTCCCCGCTGACTTCCATCTAACTCAAGTCATCTCTCAAGCCAAAGTCAGAGTCCTGGGGTTCATTATGGAAGAAACAGGCCACTGGGACTGGCCTTTTGCCTTGGCATTTGGGATTTGGAGTGGAGTTCCTATTTGATATTGAGTGGCTGCCTCCAGAAGGGGGATGGGTTGAAATGGGGTGGAATGGTAATGAGGGCTCCGGATGCTCCAGGGGCCGCTCCCCGTCCTGCCCACCAGCCACAATGGCTGGCCACCCTCCTCGGGCTCCCTATTGATTACAAAGAGCTGATTTCTTCTGGTGCAAGTGGCTGAGCCAAGGGCAGTTAGAGCTGAGCCACGGCCCCCAAATTACTGCCTTCTGGACTAACTCGGGTGGGCACTTTCCCTGGGGCCCCTTGTCAGGGACAAGGAGGCCAGTTCTGCCTTGCCTCGCCCTAGTCAGGCATTTGATATGTGTTGCTCCTTCCTGTGTGTACCCCAAATGGCCCCCGTCCCAGAGTCTTCAGCTCTTGGTGGGGATCTGAGGCCCTGGCCTAGGAGGACCCTGAGGATGCTGCCAATAAGACCATCTAGAGGCTGTAGCTGCCCTGGCACTCAGTCTGCTGACCCAGCCCACGGCAGGGTGGTGGAGCCAGACCCAGGGCCCCTCCTAAACCAGGCAGGGCCATTTAGTGAGTTAGGGAACAACCCTCGCCTTGAAAACACTGGTGACTCCCTGGTCCTCGCGCTAGCCTAGGTCTCAGCTCGTCTGCTCATCGAGCAGTGGCTCAGAGCGGGCCAACACTCAGATCAGAACTGGTTCCTGTCAGAAAGACAGAAATAAAGCGTTTAGGCCAGGGAAACTTGGCTTCTCACATGGACATGTGTATTTACCCTTTGGAAAAATGTCACTAATGGTGTTTTAATGACGCTTTATGTGCCCAGAGGCCAATAATAAGAAGAACTTCTTATTTACCAAAGCAACGGCTAGCCCCTAATGACGGGCTAAGTACCAGCTACTGGCAGGATATGTAGTGGGTAAGTGCTGTGTAATTACCAAGCAAATTCATCATTATTTCTGTCTTATAAACCAGAATATGTGTTAAATAATACTTTGGGGCCACTGAAGGTAATTACCAAGCCCCATCTCTGTAAGAACATGTAATTATCCTATGGTTACCCTGTGTTTACTGAGCAAATCTATGCAATTATTATCTAAAGCCCAAATCCTGCCCTCAGAGCCACAAAAGTGCACCCGAGGGCAGGGCTGTAGCGTGGACATGGGGTCACGAAGGATGGGGCCCTCAGTCTCCAGATTCTAGCTATGCCCACTTCCCTGGACTTCAGAAGCCCCAGGCATGTCTTTGTGAGTCCATGGTGAGGCCTTTGCCTCTCCCTTCCAGTCCTATCTCAGCCCCTGCTCTGGCCTCCCTGGGCTGGAGCATCAGCAGAGGTACTGGGGCCTCAGTCACAGAGCATCCTCCCCTGTGAGTCACCTGGAGTGGTGCCTAGGACAGGGCCTGGCACACCCAGGGCGGGTCTGTACTCCTTCGAGACCACTGTGACAGATGTGCATGAATGCATGTCCCAGTCCTTCAGCCCTCCAAGGTCACCGTGAGTCAATAATGTCACCAGGAGAAACCCCACCTGCTCCTTCCCTGAAGACTCATTCTCTTCCTCCCCTGGTTGCCTGAGCCTCTCACCCCAGGTGTCCTCGATGGCCATTGGCATTTCCGCCAGGCACCACCTTGACCTCTGACCTCCCTTGTTGAACTTTTCAGGTTCCAGGTCTGGGCTTTATTCATCTCTGTGTTCCTTAAACCAAGCACAGGAACAGAGGTGCAGTAGGCACTCTGTTTGTTGACTGAATAGCAGTCACTCAATAAACACTTGCTTTAAAAAAAGGAGTCCTTCGAAGGTCTTGACGATGTGAAGAAGGTGCTGAGCCAGAACCACAGATTTTACTTTATTTTCACTGATGTGGGGATTTTGAAAGAATTGCAGAAAAGATTTCTTTGCTGCTCTGATGAGTGAACAAGAGACTGATTAATTCAAAGCCAAGAAACAAAGGCCCTAAGCAGTAGGCTCCTGGCCACTGGCTTCATACTGTTGAGTGACCTTTGACCTTTAGGCTGGGTCTCCAAGCAGGACCCCAGATCCTTTGTCCCAGCAGCCCAAGGCTTGAGTCGGCGTGGTGGCTGCAGAGAGCTGAAAGCAGCATTGTTCACTCTTTTGTTAACGAGGTGCCCAGCTGGTCCGGGGTCACCTCCTCACTGTGCCTCTGTGCTCCGGAGTGGGGCCTTGCTGTCAGCAAAGGATTGGACTTTTCTTTCTTTCTAACCAGCTGCTCCTCTCCCACCCGACTCCCCCGACCTCTATCCTTCTGATACCTTCGGCCTCAGAATCTCTCCGGGTGAATGGTCATTGGCCCGCCACAGCCTCAAGGCCCCAAAGATACCTTCCTGCTGGGAGACTCTCAGATGCGCTCCCAGGAACAAGGCTCAGTCGGCATGTTTTCCATTTCAGAGAACTTTCCCACCTCCTGTCTTTTAGTTTGAGCCACAAGACTACGCAGCAGGCGTTTTTATCCATCTCACTTTGAAGCTAAGAAAAGTGAGGCTCCAAGGTGGGAACTGATCTACCTGTCAGCACAGCCAGGGGGCGGCCGTGGGAGGCCAGGGGGACACACGGCCCCCACCCAAGTCCGTGTTCTTGCTAGGGCGTGACTGTCTGGGGCTCTGGGCCCCAGCAGAGCCAGCAGCTGAGGACGCTGTGGATGAAGCCAGTCAGCCCTTACAGTGGTAAGCACACCCTGCCCCCATTTTTACGGCATTCCAGAACTTTCTGCATGACAGTCTCCAGTCGGTTCTTAGATTTGGCCACAGGCTAGGTCAGGATGAGCCAGAGTGCTGAGACAGGTGTTAATGAGAAGGCTAAATGTCTACAAAGTGATTCACCCAAATTCTGTCTGTTTCACTCAACCAAAGATGTCCCAAGGCTGGTTGTGGGGCTCAGTGGGGCTGCTGGGGGCTGGGGGTGGTCCTCGGATGCGTGATTCTCATGCGGTTAAAGGAGCTTTCAGTCTCTGGGAGAAGCAAGATCGGCAAGTCTGACAGAAAGCATCAGATCCCAGTGATGTGGCTTAGAATGACATGGGTTTTTGGGGTTTTTTTTGCCAAGATATTAGAAAAGAATGAGGTTTGTCATAGGCCCAGAAGGACGTTCGGGATTGGTGTGGGGGGCAAAGTTGTGGTTAACTAGTGATCAGGAAGCTCAGGAAACCTGTAGGGCCCCATATTCATGCAGACCGTGGCAGGACAATAATGGCAATCATATGCAAAATGACAAGAACTATTATTTATTAAGTGTTTCCCATATGTCAGGACCTGCACTAAGTGCTTTGCACACCTGAGCTCACATCACCTTGAACACTTCGTGGCAGGGAAGCTGGTCTTAAACGCACTTGCCTCACAGTTGGGAATGAGCCCTGGTGGTTGGCCCGACCTGGACTGCACTGTACCTTGCTCACTGGTGACAGTTGCTTGTTCATGCACCGACTCTCTCCACGTGTGTTACCCAGAGGTGCGCGGGGCCCTGGCATGGCCTTTGCACCATACCACAATGAGGGGACGAGTTGAACAGCCAGGCTTTCACAGAAGCCGTTTCAACTTCTACTGGAGTCTCTTGAAGAACAGTACAGGGGACCCAGGTTCTCAATCTCGGCAGTGTTTCTTCAAATTCTCTTTCACCATTTCTATCACTTTTAATATTTCCCAAACTTCACATCTATCTTCAACCCTTTCTTTAATGCTAATTCTCAGGTTTTTATTGAAACCTCTGCCAGAACTCAAGCCTTGTAACTCTTCCTCTTCTTCCCATCTTGTGGGGCTTTCTCTTTCCTTGTCTTCCTAATAACTTTCTCTCCAATGAAAACATCTTTGCTCTTATTTCTCATATTCCTACCCCGCTGATTATTGTGACCCACGTACTAATATCCAGGAAGTCAACTGAAAGAGTTCAAACATCTCTTAGAAAAGAAGGAGAAAAGAACAAATGACTTGCATTTTCTTCCTGGGGCAGGGGTTGCAGCCCGAGGGAGGATGGGTGCACCCAAGTGTGTTTTCTTTTGCTTTGTCCTCATCACAAGTGCGTGACTCCCACTTGGGTTGCTGGATTCTGGGGATAAAGAGCAAAAGTGTCTCCTTTCACATACAGTGCCACACAGCACACTAGAAGTAAACTTCCAGGAGCATCTGGGAGGAGTAGGGAGAGGTTTGTGGAGAAGAGGCTACATTATGGAGGTCAAGACACAAAGGGACCAGGACTCTGCTTACTTCAGTAGGAAGCCTGGTATTTGTCTGGAAGACTTACAGACAGCATGGAGATTTTCACGTTTTCCCAGGAGAGGGCATAAAATAGGTGCTCAATGTGCATTTATTAATGAATGAAAACAGCTTGTTTGTTGGGAGTGTGTCTATAGCTACACTGTCCTGATCTTAGATCTGCTGCTGTTCAAAACAGAATCTGGAGTCCACCTGTCACCAGAAGCTCTCCCTGGCCACCTCATCTCAGAGCGATCCTCTGCAAACTTAGTGGAGAACTGCATTCTCAGGCCTCCTTTCTGCTTTGCACCAAGCACACTCAGCCCCGTGCTGTGATTTAGTCTCTGTAGGTTCGTTTCTCATGTCTGCTTAGACTGCGAACTCCAGAGGAGGAGGCTCGTGGCTGGCCCGTCTCTGCCTCCTCCTGTTTGGATGTGTGGTGGGCAGTCCAGGCCTGGGAGAGGGCTGTGAGACCCCTGAGTTTGACTTCTTATCTGTAGGCGAGGTCACCGAAGTCACCGAGGGTGGGCGACCCGGCACGGCATCCCTAGCCCTTGGTGACAGGCCAGGGGCTGAGCTGGGGTTGGAGCTAACTGCACAGTGCTCTTTGCACCACAGTGGGCTCGTGGCCGGCCACGGCATTACCCCGGGAAAGCCAGGCTGGCTTCACATGGTCTCACCAAAGGCCGGTGAAGGCCGCAGCTGGTCGCCCCAACCACTTAGCTCCTTGTGCAGTTCGGGAAAGTGGATGGAGACTGAAGTCCAGAAAGACACCTTGGAGGCAAAAGCGAACGAAGACTTCACACCCAGCCACCTCTGGGC